GAACAAGTATAGCAGATGCACAGAAAGGGACACCACTACTTGCAAGCTCCCCTTCGAATCACACCATCCTGACTTGGGAATGTATTACCATTTCTTCATTGTCACTGGGTCAAAGTCCTAGAACTCCTCTCCCAACAGCACTGTGGGTGTTCCTACACCCCAAAGACTAGAAGGCTGCAGCTCACCACCACCTTCTCCAGGGCAATATTGGATGAACAATGAATGGTGACTCAGCCAGTGATGTCCACATAACATGAATGAATGAAAAACAAAAAGAGGAAAATCCTCTCGGACTGCTGTCATTTTGCTTCTCAAATTTGGGGGCAAACAGTTCTGTAATCCAACACCCAGTACCTAAGCAGAAACAGTGTAGTGTGTATTTCAATCGGTGACTGAACTTTGATGTCAATTTTATCTCAAGATTAGTATCCTGAACTGGAAAGAACAGTGGAAATTACAGTCTCTACGGCAAAAACAGATACTTCCTAATGAATCTGTGGAGAGATGTTATTACACACTTCCAGAACAGGTGGGACTTGGACCCGGGCCTCCTGGTTCAGAGGTAGGGACACAACCACAGCACCCCAAGAGCCCGCTATGGTAACAAATAATGGGACCACAACTGCCAACAGCTGAGCAATTAAATTCCAAGTTTGAGTCCCAAGGCATTTCTTTTTCCACAGCACATGAATCAAGTCGATTATGTCACTTACAACGGTCCTCCCTTCCAGTCTTCCTTACGTCTTTTGTTTATTTTCCTTCAATAACGTCTACTGCATTTTCTATTATTCACAAAATACTTCTCTACTTTTAATTTTCAGTGTCCACCTTTTTTTTTCCCTATCTGTATCAATTTTTCAAATTTATTTTTCTTTCCTTTTTCTCTCCCAAAGACAGATAGTTATCCTGGACTTCAACACACAGGAATCAACAACTTTCATTCATCTCACCCAGTCGTCTGTTCATTGGGGCGGGCACCGTCAGCCAGCTATCTGCAAACCAGTCTCTCCCGAGGGTAATCAGTAGTAGCAGCCCTTGTTCAGATTAAACAAAACATCCTAAGTTCAGCTCAGCCCAACAAACAGCACAATGTAGGAACCGAAGCTGGACTTTCCTGGGCTCAGTATTCCATCACATACTGATTTCCTTTAAATCATGGTAGGGGTTCAGACATAGCCTTCTTATGTCTCTTCGGTTTATGGCCTGTCACCATTATGAGCAGTTTCTTTTAACTCCTTCAGATGCATCGTTTTACAAGTAGACTATCCAAACAATTATTGCCATCTCACCATGATTTTAAAACCACTTTCTACAAACTGCGCCCAAATATTTACTTTTGCAACTATTGCCTCGAGACACAATGCTTTCAAATATTTGATCAACTCACACACCCAAATAAAATCCCTGCTGTTGCTTATTATAACTTTGTCTCACATTATGTAATCGCACCTCCCATACCTAGCAGTGACATACATTAACTTTTCATTATTAAAGGCACTCTGTCCAATTGTAGATCTTACCACAGAGAGTACAGAGTGTTCATCATTAAAGACCACGTGGAGACTTATTGGAAATATTCACACTAGCAGCAAAAAAAGGTTACTAATTAAATTGGATAGGTTACTGTGAAGAAAGAGATAGAATTCAGATCCCTGTGTTACAGAATATTACTTCTCACCATATTCCACAAAGAAAAAGGTTACTTTGAGCTCAGGCATGTACAGCTAAGAGCTATACACTCAACGTTAGTTGGAAGGATGTTCCAAGACCAAGAAAAAGTTTTAAGAAATGAAAAATTTTACTCCTAAATTTAAGATTTGATTTTAACTTACTATATCAAGCACTGTTCAGGCTGTGGGGCAATTAAAGCTGGGAGGGAACGTACCTAATTTTGTTCTTTTTACTCCAATTAGACTAACTGCAATTTTACATTGTCAAAGGGGTATGGGCGCCAGCCCCAAAAAGCCTCTTTAATTAAAAAGAAACTACCATCAGAGCCCGATTTCCAGTTTCATGAGGCCTAGTCAGAGCAGCTGTGTTGGCTTCCCAGCACAGAAAAAGAGCTGTCAGGAAAAGCTGACAAGACCCAAAAGTTGCCTCGGCCAAATGCAGGAATGTTCCTGTGAATCCCCTGCCTTAGCCTTCCTCAGCCCCCAGCCGCAGGATTCCCCTGTTCATGCTTCTGCCTGAATTTAATGGCCTGGTACCATTAACCTAAGTAGTAACTGGCTATCAGACCCATTGCAAACGCTTCTCGCTGTTCTATTTTCCTGAAGAGGAGTAATTAAGCCCTTAATGTCAATGCCCAGAACTCCCAATGCAGACACATCATTCACAGAAACAGAGCACAGCTCCCCCACTCTTCCCCAACAAGATACTTCAGTCCCAACCTCAAAGAGAGGTTTGACTAACTCTGCTGGCTTGTCATTTTCTACTTCCTCCATTAGTTAAACTTCCTGCTTCTCATAGTGGGACCACCTACTGTATGAGGTTTCTTAGGTAGTTTTCACAGCAATTAGAACCAAATTGAGTTTGTCCAAGCACCTTTCTGTCAGATGTTTCTGGCTGACAGAAATAGATTCCTCAGTTCATGAATCTGTACTGTAATGGAATACCAATCTGAAGTGGTTAAGGAATATAACTCTTTATCCTACTGAATAGTTTGGTGAAAAAAATTACTTATCCAACATCATATTTTGTTAGTATCAACCAGTAAGTACTTCAGTTATTGCTAGCTCTGCACAGTTAGAGCTAGGGAAGAATTGAGGGGTACTGGAAGTCTTAAAATTCTTGGAAAGTTCATAGTTTCCTACAATCCAGCAATGAAAACTCTGTTTTTGTTTGGATATTGAGCTGTGAACAACAAATTGTTTCTTAATCTTGAAGTCTTGAATGATTATGGATTACTTGATTTGTGTTGTCCCCAAACACAAGCCCAAAAATAGGTCAGTGGGATGGTGAGACATATCACATAAAATAAGCGCCGATCAACTGCAGCCCTGAGCAGAACAAATCAGCAGACATTATTATTAAGGGGAGGGGGTCAAATAAAAATGCAAAGTAACCGAGGATAAATTTATCAAACAGAAACAAAGCACACAAATTACACAATCAACCAACAGTGATTTTGTGGTTGACATCAAGCAGAGGATCAGTTTAGTTTGCATCATCATGATTAATGAATCGTACTTAGCACAGTCCTCTGCATGTAAAACAATATGGGCTGGGGGAAGGAGAGCGAAGGTGCTAGTTAACATGATTAATCTTGGAGGCTGCTTCCAAAGGCAGGAATGATAACAGGAGGGGAACAACGGACCCAACACCGCCCTTATCCTGACGGCCTCCTTTGTGTATGGCTGCGTCAAGATACGCGCAGACTCTCAGTATGCAAACACCAAGCGTCACTACATATTGCAGTTCTGGTGTTGCAAAGGATCTCAACGGCCTCATTGCCACGGAACACTCCAAGTAGTTGGACCGTTCTGCATCACCTGTCCTTCGTAGGGAAATTTACACTTTTCGCCATAGGTCCATCACAAAGTGGTCAGCACATAGCATCCTTGAGAACCTGAGGGAAAAGGAGAGGCTGGATCCTGTTGTATGGTTCCCTGAGCAGATTGTCAAAATTCTGGCAGTTTGCCTCATCACCAGAGCTTTCCAACAAGCACCAAGACACTGCTTGGCTGGTGGGGAGAAGGGTATTACCTGTGAGATCCGTCACATATGCCCAGTCGGTCTGAGCCACCGCATGCTGCCCTTGAAGTAGCTGCGGGGTGGGGGGATTGGTTTGACGCTGTTACACACCACCTTCTGGAACGTGCCTTTGCAAAGGAAGCCTGAAGAAAGATGGAGAGATAGTAGGAACTGCAGATGCTGGAGAATCCGAGACAACAAGGTGCAGAGCTGGAT